TCCAAGATGACCCCCGTGGGGTCCAGGATGAGTCAATAACATCAATAAATCATGTGCTTTGATTTAAGGCCCAGTAAGACTTCTCTGCATCATTCTCTAACGACCCAAGCTTCATTGATCTGGGTAGCCGTATCCAAGATGGCGCCCCTGGATCTCGAAATGAGCAACAACCTAAGCTTCATTGATTGGTATGACCCAATCGGGATGGCCTTCTTGAGTTGCTGCTCCATGAACAAAAGACCCAAGCTTCATTGATCAGCTCCGTCCATGGTGGCAGTCCTGGATATTCTAATCGAGTCCAAAATAGGCACAAAATTAGGAGCTTTCAGGCTTTTTTTTGGTGTAGACTTTTGTTTGGTACTATAATAGCATTCCTATAAATGAAGTTTTTTAGATTCGAGCATCAAGCTAGCGCGACAAATGTGAAAAACCGATAAAAACAAAGTATATCTATGAGATAATAAGGCGCTTTTTAGCTACTAATTGATATTGGAGGGAACAAAGTAGGAGACAAAACCTACAGAACAGATGGGGATATGAGTATTGTGAATCCCCCGATTTGAGCACTACTCATTGAAACAAATAAAAATTTCGGTGCTTTACCTCCTGCCGATTTTTTTAGAGAATTAATTGATCGAATCATTTTTTCCTGCTTCTGCTCCAAAATGGAGCGTGAGAATATGTCATAATCTACTCGTGAGATATGTACGTCGTAATGCCTAATGAGTCGATGCTCACTCGTTGAATGAATTTCTAAAGAGGTTAGTGAGAAAAATATGAGAATCGACTGAGGTTTTAAGTTTTTTTGCATCTGTGGATAGAAGAATTCTGTTCAAAATATCAATCACTTCCTTGAAAAATATGAAGCAACATCACGTCTAACATAGCCATGTTTTTAGAATGTACTCTCATCATTATTTCTAATAAATAGTTTCCCATTTTCCGCATATCATTTTTCTATTTCCTATAACTATCATAAATGAGAAGCTTCAGTTGATTTCCTCATTTATTTCACCGATGTCGGTAAATTAAGAGGCAGAGCATCCTTGAAAATTATTGGACGCATCAGCATCGACTCATTAGTGATTACTATGTATATAACTCGCCACTATATTATGAGATATTTTCTTGCTACATTTTGGAGCAGATGCGAAGGAAATGATTCGTTCAATGACTTCCGAGTCATCAACAGTTTTCATGTGTTATCCGAACCTCTCCCATGTAGTAAATATTTTAAAGGTGTGTGGGAGTAATAGAATAAGTACACTAAGATAATCCTTTTCACTATAAAATAATCCGTGGTGTATTATAAAACTGCTTGACAATAATAGTAATGTGGAATGCGAACATAAATTAATGATCTCAAGGAATAATCGAAAAAGTTAGTTCGATGTGCTCTCGCCCTCGTTGCTGGACGAAAACTAAACTCGATCTTCACTTCCCAGTGGAGATCTTCAACGCCGTATCCCTCATCGTCAACGCTGTATTCGTCATTTACAACGCTGCATTCGTCATTTGTTTAGACGAGAATTCCTGGCCTGCGTCGCCGAGGTATCCAATACTTCGAATGTGTATTTTATGGCGCTGGTGGTCCCCCGCATAAGATCGTCTTTGTTCCAGTCCCAACAAAAAGACCTCTCATGACACCCCGGAAAAATTTCCCCACACCCATATCTACTGAAATTCTTAAATTTTCATTCTAGGAATGAAAGTGTGGGACATTTTTTTTTATGGTGATTCACCGACATAAGTCGAATAAATAAGAGAATAAACGAAAATTATCCATCTATGGATGGTTAAAAGGGAAAAGAATGATGTGCAAAATATGAAAGACTTTTTTGTTTGTTCAATAAGGACGATGATACATTACAAAAAAAAAAGATCAGCTTGGGCGTTATGTTGGTTCATATTTTTTTTTTTTTTAAAGAGTCATTGATATTTTGCACAGAATTTTTTTATCTAGAGAACAAAAAAATGAAGACCTCAATACATTCTTATTTCTCTCACTGAGAAAACAAACAGATGACGCTTGGGTCATGTGTTAATGAAGCAGAAAATTCCTACTGGGCCTCAACTTAAAGCACATGACTCATTGATGCTATTGACTCATCCTGGGACCCACGGGCGCCATCATGGATTGGGTCTTATTGATAGATGACGCTTAGGTCATTTGTTAATGGAGCGGAAAATTCATACTGGGCTTTAAATGAAAGCACATGATTCATCGATGCTATTGACTCATCTTGAGACCCACGGAAGCCATCTTGGATTGGGTCTTATTGATCGATAAAGCTAGGGTCATTCAAGAATAGTGCAGAAAATTCCTACTGAGCCTTAAATCAAAGCACATGATCCATCGAAGCCTTTTGCAGATCCTTGGGTCCGTGAGAACCCCCATTTGCCTATCGTCACTAGACCATTTGTGAAGTCTTGGGAAATGCGCGGAAAATTGGGGAAAAATCGATTAAGTTTTCCGCAGAAAATTAGCACGTAATTAATACTCCACGCTAGATGGCCCAAACTCAAAAATCAAATTTTCGGCGAAAATTTTACAGCAGAAAATTTTCTATGGGCTTCAAATTGGAGCATATGATTCATCGAAACGTTTTATACATCGTTGGGTCTGTGGGACCCGCCATTCATCTGTCAGCACTATACGAATTTTCAGCGTCCTGGGAAATTCGCGGAAAATTCGGGAAAAATCGATTAATTTTTCCGCAGAAAATTAGCGCACAATTAGTACTTCACGCTACTATGAAAATTATGCCAATCCGATGAGATCGGTCTGCTAGATAAATGGCCCAAACTCAAAAATCAAATTTTCGGCGAAAACTTTGGAGCAGAAAATTTAATTTTTTCAGCAGAAAAAAGCACACAAAAAGCACGTATTTTCGAGTTTTTCACCGACCCGATCCAATGACCCTGGTCTGCTAACTTTTTGGAGCTGCATATTTTCATTGATTGAGATAGACGACATCGAGACGAATATTGTGAAAAAAAATATTTAAATCGGTTGAGAAGTTTTTGAGATTTTGCGAAAAACGATTTAGAAACAAATGGCGATTTCTCAAAACGGGCTGCATCGATTGGGCTATAATTTAGCACACAATTAGGCCTCATTAATATCTATAATCTGAGTAAATTTCAGATTTTGTGGAATCATTTTAGCCCTTTAATTCGTCAATTTCCTAAAAGTTGACCACCAGGTGGACATGGGCACATACACAGAAGGTGTTTGTTTTCGACCACTCTCCATCATTTCCAAGCAAAATTGTAAAATCTAAAAATCGAACGATTACAAGGCTTCCATTCGGAAGTAAAAAGAAAAAAACAAAGAGAATTAGAATTTAAAGAAAAAAATATCCAACATTCAACGAAGGCAATTTTTCCATAATAGCTTTTCCCGTTTGATTATTCAATTTGCGAAAAATTGACTTCCGAAAGGGTCTCGCTTGTTAACCGCCCGGACATGGTTACCAAACATTGTGTCTTTACCTTCCAGACTATTCTACATCATTTCCGAATAACATTAGAGAATGCGAAACTCGAATGATCGCAATGTTTTTCTTCAGAAACGAAAAAATGGAGAAATACCATTTTTTAAGGGGAAAAACGGAAATAGTATATTTCAGCACGTGTGGGGCAATTTCGTCTTTAACGTGTGTGGGGTTTACCGCATGAGCCGAAGGCGAGTGATGTAACCACACACGTTAAGGACGAAATTTCCCAACAAATACTGAACAAAATTTCATGTCACGAAGCCTGAAACCGGCTGAATTAGACACGAGACGTGAAGCGTCGAGTGTGTAATCCAGCCGGTTGCAGGCATGAGTGGCATAATAGTATATTTTGTCATTACGGCCGTAAAGCGGCGATTTATGGACGAGTAACCATCACAGTTTTATTATAACGGCCGTAGGCCGCAACAAACACACATGACAAAATAGTATATTGTGCACCAAGGGCGGAAAGTGGACTCGACAGATACCACAAAAATAGTATATTTCTAACCTAGGGAAGGAAAATAAAGGATCCTCAGCTGCCAGTGCAATTACCAGCCGAGCCGAAGGCGAGGTTGGTAAGCACGCGGCTGAAGGTCCTTTATTTTACTTCCTGTGGTTAGAACGCGATTTTCCGTCTCGGCGTAGGCGCAAAGTCAGAGTTCCCTCCCGCGAAGCGGGAGGGAAATGTAACTTCGCGCCCGCCGGGACGGAAATAAGATGTACTGTACGTGCATGTGAAAAAGTGAAACTTTATGCACTAGTAACACAATATACTATTAGAGACAGAAGTAGCGCTTCGCGTGTCCTACGACTATCCCTGAAAACATTACCCCACTCCTATTAACATTCTCCTTTTTTCGCACTCGTAACGTAATATACTATTACGCGCTCGTATTGAAATATACTAATTTATGTCACTCGCCCTGAGAAACCACAATTCTAACCTCGCGTCGCTTGGTTAGATCGAAATTTTCTACGCCCAATGACATAACATATTGTATATCACACGGTGATAAAAGTATTATCTGACTCATGTGATTATAATCCTCGGCTTAGGCTTGGATTATAAGGTCATAAAACAATGTATATTCCAATCTTTCGCAGCAAAAATGAATTCATGTTAAATAAAGTTGAAAAAATATGGCAGAAAAACGAAAACCTACTGCGCATACCTCCCTTTTCAACTGAGTTTATAGTCTATAAGTTTAGGACAAATTTCCTAAATATCTGGGGAAATTTCGAGAATGATTGCGATTTTGTACGCGAATGAACGGTCGACAATTAGTGAAATGTCTCATTTATTGAAATTCAAGGGAGATACTGCAATTTTCAAGAGGACCTTTTTCTCCAAGTCTACCCCCAAAGATCATTATGGAAAGCCATATTCAGAGATATATACCAACAAATCATCTGGAAGTCAACTTGACTTATCTTTTTCTATTCCTTTGCAATGGAAATCTTATTTTTCATGAGTTTCTAGATGGAGAATAAACATACTCAGTGTGCAGCTGTCTGAGATATCAATTTTATAAGTGTGGTCCAAATATTTGACGTTGAATGTTAGTATTCTAGGTATAGAATTTTTAAGATTGCTTGTCCCTGGCTTGATTGAATTATCTTGATTACTCTCCTGTGTTTTATTTTGATTGGAAACATCTGCGGACGATGAGAATGTTACAACTGGCACTCCCTGCACAACCTCCATCATTTCAATATCTGGACTCATTTCTGATGGCAATTGCTGTGTGTCGTGGTGCATGACATTGTTCAAAGCAGCCTGTTTCATATTGTAATAAAATTTCACGTTACTCAATATTATCGGGCATATTTTATTATCGCTCGGAAATTACTGACGGTGATTACTTACCACTAGGTCCCAATTAGTGTTCTCGAGGTGCATGATTGCCTCGCCAACATCATCGATACCCGAGCAAGCCTGCAAAAATTTGTGCACTGATGGGTAAATAGGGAATAACATTTTTTCTTGTATTCCGTTCGATAATCACATTTGTCGTATATTCATGACAGATGATTCCAATGACCCATAAAATCGAGGAATAACCACAATACAATCATCATTTTTTATCAGCAAACCAATAAATGTTTTAATTACTAGCAATGTCGTGCTGGAAAATCATTTAACATAATGTTTGCTCAGTGAAACAGTAAATAGGTATTATACTATATTTGAAAAATTGATTTTTACCTGGAAATCGGCCAGAGTAACCTCACGATTTTCTGACATTGTACGACGTTTTATCCACCCTAATGCACTACAAAACTGAATCGAAGTTGAAAATTTTCCCTCAGTTTTCTTTGTTTTAATTCAATGTTTTGGGCTGAAAAATCATTTATTGTACTCTGGAGTACAAAGCACGAACTGTCGACACGTTCACTAGTGCAAGGATTTTTAAAAAACAAGTCGAACGATAAGTGTGAAAAGAGCAATACAAAGCGGAATCCAAAATTGAAGTTATGGGTTCATGGTATAGGGTAAAAAATACAAGATCGTCGTTAATTTTAAATTATCTGTGGCGCATTAACAAGAGTAATCACAAATACTTTTTATTTGAATTTAATTCATAAAAATTCGGATTTTATGGTTATTGGTCATTATGTTACGCATTACGGGCATAGAGGCAAAGGGGATAGAGTAAAGTAGAGACTGTTTTCGGGGTTCAGACAACCCCAAGCGAAACTGAGTATCATCCCACGGGAGGGATGGCGCCACGATCGACAGTCGGTAAAAAGGTTGGGGCCTAATTTTCCAAACTTCAAACGTCAGAATGTACGACATGACCGACTAGAAAATTCCCAACGATATAAGTGTTCGATTTTCGAATGGGCTCAAATTCACCAATGCTCGACTGGGAGATATTTCGACACTTAGAAATATTCGACATATGGGACATTCCATGATAACTGAGCCACCCTGGATTTTTTTGGTTCTCAGAGCAGGGATTATAGGGGTAATCAGCAGGGGGGGGCTTGGTTTGTACTTTTACAACTCTACCAGAGATCATAGGGGAGATGAGCAGGGCCAATGTAAAGTGTTCAACAGCAAAAAACGTAACGGTGGTGCATGGACTACGATGGAGCGTACGGAACTGTCGGTATGGTAGGGTCCGAGCATAAATTTGTCGATAACCGGAAAGGGGTTCTCAATACGGTAGCTCTTCGCATTTTGTAATAATTGTCAGGAATGTAAAATCGAACATATTATAATCAATAGTATAATGAATGCAGAATGTAATGATCTAAAAGTCTTTTCCTTTTTCTCGACATATTTATTATTGACACGTAGGTAAAAAAATTCATGGAAAATCCCAGCGCTGTCGCTGGAAAACTATAGTTTTCCAGTGATTCTATTGAATAATTGTGCAGATTTTGTTTTTTTTTACTATAGTAATGTTCGATTATATATATTTATTCCCCCCCTGAGTGAGAAAGGAATATGTATCGCGCTCGCTCCCACTCATTGTTGTCTCCGTCGCGTTGGCACATGCCCGTCCTCCGCCAAACTTAACGAGTGCGAGTGAGAAAGAAAATGGAGAAGAAGGAGAGAGAAAACATTACAACTCGTTTGAACGGTTGGAACGTTTTCGTTGTTCTCCAGCGATCTACACATAATGGAATTAATTCAATAATAATAGATTAATGAATAAGATTTTTCACAGATTATTGCGAGATTTAGATGAATGGTTTGCCTCTTTCAGTGACCATAAAAAAATTGTCTCCAATCGACAATATCTCCCGATGGAATGGAACGATGTGAATGAATCAAGTATCAATTTGAATCTTTAAAAAATTAATCGAGAGTGAAAAAAAATCCGGGAATTCCACTCTGACATTTCTCTATTGTCTGTATTTACCGAGAAAAAAAAACGTTGTTCCTAGGAATCGATGTGTCTTTTTTAGGCAGCTGCATTTCTGAAATGCAATGAGCAAGCAATGTTAAAATTGAGTCATTTTGTAAAAAATTTCTAGTGACATGATCCTGAAAATCAAAGGAAAGTCTTGAATTCAGGAATGATGTCTGTAGGTTTCAGTAATATTTTCGCGGAAATTCCGGGAAAACTTAGTAGGAATTTTTATGGCGTTGCCGTAATACAGAAATTTCAAGGAATTTCGTCATTGCAAATTAAAAATTTCTATAAATTTCAGTCCAATTATATGTGTACGTCCACGTGAAAAGGGCCCATTTTATCGCATCTAATTTCCAAGATATTCACGTTTTTCTCTCCACTCCATTTATCCCATTGTTAAATTGATTTTTTGATCTTTTATACGGACGTCACACGGAGAAAAATAAATCGGTAAAAGTCTTGCGATCGCAAGGAGTTTCCTGAAGATCCCCATTATTAATGCACGAAGAACAATGAAGCTTTTTGGAATCTTCGGAAAATTCTATTCTATCCTACTCAAGTAGGAGCGGAGGAATGAATTTTCAAAAGCGCGGAGTAACCCCGAACGGTTCTCCGGCGTCGAGTGAGCGCGGAGGGGCTCCCCCGATTAGAAAATTCATTTCTCCACACCCCCCCCCCGCCGCCCTAATTGCGAAGAGGGAATGAACGCAACATCTATCGATCGAGAATAATATTCTCAATAAATGACAGTGGTTTCATTCCCTTAGTCTCTATTAGGAGAGGAGGAATGAATTTTCAAAACGCGCAGTAACTCCGAACAAGTTCTTCTCATTTAAAAATTAAATTCATTCAAGAATTATATTTTTAATAAATGACATCGGTTCCATCTCTTAATCTCAGTTAGGAACGGAGGAATGAATTTTCAAAAGCGCGGAGAAACCCCGAACGGGTTTCCGACGTCGAGTGTGCCCGGAGGGGCTCTCCCGATTGGAAAATTCATTTCTCCCACCCTAATTAAGATGAAGGAATGAAACGGATGCCGACCGATAGAGAATGAAATTCTCAATAAATGACAGCGGTTTCATTACTTAATCTGAAATAGGAGCGGAGGAATGAATTTTCAAACGCGCGGAGAAACCCCGAACGGCTCTCCGGCGTCGAGTGAGTCCGGAGTAGTCCAATGAACGAAGGTCTAACATACGAATGTTTGCTAATCAGGCTCCATTTTTGATACAATTTGTGATTTGGGCGTACGAAACTAATGGCGGATGTTTAAGGTTCCCCAAGATTGTGCGGGGGTTGAAAAAGCCAAAAAACTACCCCTGAAGACCGTTTTTTCGAAATAACTCGTGAATAACGCGCTGTACGTCCAAAAACGTGATATACAAAGTTGTAGAGCTCGAATTTCTACACAAAAAATGTTTGGGGCACTTTAACTCTATACCCAACCGTTCATCCCCCAGAGCCGCGTGAAGATCAGATGGGAAAAAAAATGTTTTCCATTTAAAAAATTGAAGTTAATGAATTTTTTTTTTGTAATTCGGAATATCAGTGTTTTTTTTCCATAGCTTGTTTATTTATTCAGAGCGAATTTAATATATGTTGCTATTCATATCTTGACATTGATTCGATAAAATTTTTTTTTTCTTCCATATTTTTTATTAGAACATTTACCACAAATTTTGTCTTGATCGTACCCGCGAATCTCCTATGGATTCAAAGTTAAACGCAATTTTCTAGCTCCAACCCCTAAATTCAGCGCCGGGGATGAGAACCTTTTGTGCGAGAGAGAAGTCTCCGTCTTCTCGCTCCCACTCGCTACAGCATTGTTGCGACCATTTGCGCATGCGCACACGGGCCTGTGGAACATCACGGACTGAATGCGAGAAAAAGAATCATTTGAGGTTTTTCGTCAGCCGTTCGCTCTCTCTC